CTTACTTACTTCTGTAAGTAAGTAAGTAAGTAAGTAAGTAAGTAAGTAAGTAAGTAAGTAAGTAAGTAAGTAAGTAAGTAAGTAAGTAAGTAAGTAAGTAAGTAAGTAAGTAAGTAAGTAAGTAAGTAAGTAAGTAAGTAAGTAAGTAAGTAAGTAAGTAAGTAAGTAAGTAAGTAAGTAAGTAAGTAAGTAAGTAAGTAAGTAAGTAAGTAAGTAAGTAAGTAAGTAAGTAAGTAAGTAAGTAAGTAAGTAAGTAAGTAAGTAAGTAAGTAAGTAAGTAAGTAAGTAAGTAAGTAAGTAAGTAAGTAAGTAAGTAAGTAAGTAAGTAAGTAAGTAAGTAAGTAAGTAAGTAAGTAAGTAAGTAAGTAAGTAAGTAAGTAAGTAAGTAAGTAAGTAAGTAAGTAAGTAAGTAAGTAAGTAAGTAAGTAAGTAAGTAAGTAAGTAAGTAAGTAAGTAAGTAAGTAAGTAAGTAAGTAAGTAAGTAAGTAAGTAAGTAAGTAAGTAAGTAAGTAAGTAAGTAAGTAAGTAAGTAAGTAAGTAAGTAAGTAAGTAAGTAAGTAAGTAAGTAAGTAAGTAAGTAAGTAAGTAAGTAAGTAAGTAAGTAAGTAAGTAAGTAAGTAAGTAAGTAAGTAAGTAAGTAAGTAAGTAAGTAAGTAAGTAAGTAAGTAAGTAAATAAGTAAGTAAGTAAGTAAGTAAGTAAGTAAGTAAGTAAGTAAGTAAGTAAGTAAGTAAGTAAGTAAGTAAGTAAGTAAGTAAGTAAGTAAGTAAGTAAGTAAGTAAGTAAGTAAGTAAGTAAGTAAGTAAGTAAGTAAGTAAGTAAGTAAGTAAGTAAGTAAGTAAGTAAGTAAGTAAGTAAGTAAGTAAGTAAGTAAGTAAGTAAGTAAGTAAGTAAGTAAGTAAGTAAGTAAGTAAGTAAGTAAGTAAGTAAGTAAGTAAGTGAGTGAGTGAGTGAGTGAGTGAGTGAGTGAGTGAGTGAGTGAGTGAGTGAGTGAGTGAGTAAGTTCGCTGTTCTGCAAATGTGGTATCAATGAACCACTAATTTAAATCATAAAAGCCTTAACCATGTATATGAAATTATCAATTGTTCATTGTTAGATCATAATTAGAAACCTGAAATCACTGGATGGTCGTTTCGTCCTAGTATGGGACTCATCAGTGGCGCAGTGAGTATTGACTACCAATAGTCGGATTCATGATTTTAAATAATTAACAAAAATCTTCATATCTATATAATGAATAACTATTGATTACTTTGAACTCAAATTACTCATTGAATGACTGATATTTATATCAAGGCAAGTAGATATTACTTTCTGGTTTCTTAGTTGTATTCAAAGATAAATCAGTTAGTGACAAATATTATTTCCAAATCAAATTCATTTCAAAAAAATACTTCCGTTCAAGTATACGCTTTATCCAAAAGAATTACAACTCAATAGAAATATACAAAATTGTTTGGCATTGAAATTAAACTGCTGAAAAGAATTTTCTAACTGGACTGCACCTCGACTCATGTTATTCAATCTTATTTCATCATGATGAATATGAAATTATCCTGGAACCACCGAGTAAGAAATACTGGTGTTAGGAAAAAGGTGCCGAGTAAGGATGGTAAATCATTCGGTGAAGTAATGAATGCTCTTCCGTTGAAATGGTTGCGACACATGTTACGTATGCCTGACCACCGAATGCCCTAATGAGCGATGTTGCTGGGGGCGGAAAAACCAAAATACGGCACAAATCCATGAAGTCACTGATAACTGGACTGAGTCATGTTGGTAGGTGTTGACTACCTACCTGGTTGGGATCCGCTAGACATTAGTAACCGATGTTTAGAAACTGTTAATGACATAGCTCAAAATCAAAGTTCTACATTGTAACTGACTGACTGATTAATAAATAAAACTTATAGAGAAATAATAATTTGACTTTACTTGAATTTGTGGTGGAAATACAGATTCTAAAAATGTTTGTAAAATACATTGAACTTTTTTTCTGATTAAACTATGTTCAACATGACCACGATGAAGTTCCTGTAAATGAGAATTAAATTTAAAAAAAACAAAGTTATCATTATGTAATGATTTACATAGTTCTCAGAAAATTTCATATGTAAATTTATCATTGAATTATATTTACACAATTAAATTAAATCTACATGAATCTTTGTTCCTTGCTGACTGGAACTATTTCATAACCTTGAAAGAATTAAAGATCAAGAATGGTTTATGTCTAAATCAACTAGTGTAACGGTTAGAGAAATCCTTTCCATAATGTTCAAAACCACAAATAATCGGAAGGATGGTTGAGATTAGTGAGTAGTAATCCTTCGATTGTTTGACCATTTTGTAAACTAAAATTGAATCTTTTAATATCAACTTCCTGTTACGCATGCACGTCAACACGTCAATTTGATATGCTGGAATTATTACGAGTTTACCTTAGTCGGGAAACGAAAGCGAGGATCAAGGATCCAGCGACACGACAGGCTACGCTAATCCGAGTGTCCCGAAACCTACATTGAGTAAAAGAAGAAGACTTGATATGAAGTAGAACCTGTATTCTACAAGCATCCATTAAGTACGAGGTTTGAGTCTAGAAGAGAATCAGGATCCCAAACTAGGGATCCGGGACCGGGTCCTGGTCCTGGTCCCGGTCATAAGACATTACACATATTTATACATTTTGGTCGAATAAGAAAAAGCATCGAAGTCTGTAACATTGACAGCTAAGACGACCAATAGGAAACAACATTTGAAATGACATTGATAATCAGGACAATCAATAAGAAAAAACATTGTAGCACGTGACATTGATATCTAGGACGACTATAAAATTGACCAATAGGAATTGACCAACAATTCTCTTAGGATATTGGATGAATATCCTAACACTCACTACAAACCGTCATGATGATAATTGATAAGATAGGGTCATGAAAAAAAGTCTACCCTAACAGAAATGTCTAATGATTACTTATATACAATCTGAACTTACGGAAAGTTTATTTCGAGGTTTAAAAATCTATGCAAAATGAAATAATTTCACTCAGCTTTCATTATAAGGTTGTAGAGATCGTTTGAGTTTCGCATTGAAATCATAAATGCATCATTGTTAATTTTGGGGACGTTAGATCCCTGGAACTCACTTAGAAAAGGTCCTAATTTTGTGATTTTGCCAAATCTTAATCTTCTGGATTCTTCAACACCTCTCGTTTTGACTTTCTAAACTTTTCTCATTAAATCATACTTCTTGAATAATATCTTCTAATCCTAACCTCTTCGATTACTTCTAATACCTTCACTACCTCTTCTACTAATGGATTTGAATTGACAATTACATCTCTGTGCTGATGTGGTATGGCGACATGAACTGATGTACTTACGTACGAAGTTGTACGTTGCATCTGACTGACTGACTGACTGAATTTTGTGATTTATTTCTGAAATTTTGAAGTTCTATGTTTTCGCGCCAAGGGAAGCTTAGTTGACCTACACAGCTTGCATTTCCCACTCGCGAAATCTTTGACTGTCATTGATTGATTGATGGATTATTTCTAGTACGCTATTTTGTGGCTTTCACCAAGGACGTTTCTGTCATTGTATAAATAAGCTTGATTTGTGTACTTCGTGACCTCAATCTTTATTGGTGTCGCTAGGCCTTATTAAAACTTCTTGTTGTGGTGAGCGAACCGGGGACAATCGGATCTGCATTCCGTTTATCAAGTAAGGTGAACTTGAAATAGCATTCAGGCATATCAGTTAGACAGACTATCACTGGATACCTTTTAAGCAGTAGATGGCCGTTTCGTTCTAGTTTGTGGACACATCATCAGTAATAAGCATTCATGATCCCGTGATCAAGAATTGAACCAAGAACTTTCTGCCTCTTACAGGAGAACGCTTAAACTGTCGACTACTGAGTCAGCATCACAACAGTGCTCACGTCCAACTTCAGTCAATCCAAGTTATTGCACAAATTCATTCATTGTTTTCAGCGGGTAAGCACCTCAAGCCCAACACAGTTGAACTTCAGGTTTGTAATGGTAGTCTTATATTGATGGATTCTTGATTTTTGTTAGAACCAAAGACAATCATGGACATAGTTTCGGTTAGAACAATGTGAAAATACTGGATACAGGGAGTACAAAGAATACTAGGGAATTTTTAGAGGCTTGGCACTCAGATCAATCAGCAATCAACAAACACATCGAAATTGACCTAATTTATCAATCAATCAGAAAAATCATAGCTGACATAGGATCAAGAAACAGATCAAAAAAGGGGATATAATCAAAACAAAGGTGCAAACAATGACAGTTTGAAGGTCAACAGCAACCAATGAAGATCGAGGTGAAGCTTGTGCTAACGATGATGTTGTTCATTAGGAGAACAATGAAATCTCCACAACCAAACAACATTCTCAACTCAGAGAACAAAACACCACCAACACAAAGTCAAAGATAATAATTTATTCACAATGAACTTGCTTCAAAACGTAAAACTTCAATGTGAAATATTAAATCTTGATCAATCATCGGACAATTTTCATTTGAACCATAATCTACTAAATATTGATAGAAAAGTATCAATTTAAAATCAAGCGGTGGTTGAAATGCTGCACGTTTCAACAGCTTCATCAATTCCTCTTTATCTTCTAAGGTTGGTTTCATTCTGATGAAAAATTTCTAAATTGAATCAATAAATTTGCAAAATAAAACAAAACAATATTGTCACAAATGAGAACAGAAATATGGTATTATAAAATGTTAATTAGAAGTCTAGATTAGTTTGATAATTTGTTAGGATATTCATCGAATATACTAAGATAATTGTTTGTAAGTCTGATTCTATTGGTCAATATTTAAGGTCGTCCTAAACGAACAAGTTCACATACTTTTAAATGTTGTTTCCTATTGGTCGTCTTAACTTTCAATGTCACAGACTTCAATGTTGTTTCCGATTCTTCCTAACTGTATAAATATGCATTATTTGTAACGTTTTATGACCCGGATCCTTAGTCCGGGATCTTTAACTTCTTCTGGACTCGGACCTCATACTTTCTGGATGCTTGTAGAATACTGGTTCTACTTCATATCAAGTCTTCTTCTTTTACTCAGTGGGGGGTTCGAGACACTCGGATTAGACTAGCCTGTCGTGTTGCCGGATCATCAATCTTCGATCTCATTTTCCGACTAAGGTAAACTCGTAACAATTAAAGCATATCAAATGACATGTTCACGTGCATGCGTGACATAAATGTACAAATTTTTTCTAAATAATACGTTACGTTGTTTAATGTCCAACTACTGTGGGAGAGAACAAACCAGTATCCAGCTGAAGAAGAAGTCGGGAAGAAGCGCTGGAGGTGGAAAGGATGCACATTGTGGAAATCAACCAACTTCATTACAATACAAGCCCGCACCAAGAGTTTTCAAGGCCGAAGGAGAAGAGGAAGACCAAGGAACACATTAAGAGGAGAATCGGTGACAGACATGAAAAGAATGACTGGCAGTTGACTAGAATCGGAAAGGATGGCGCAGGACAGAGTAGGTTGAAGAATGCTGATAGACGGCAGCCTATGCTTCATTAGGAGTAACATGCGTAAGTAAGTAAGTAAGTAGGAATGATAGAACAGTTCTTCTATGCTTGACTGTTTGGTTCAATACAAATGTTACCGTAATCAAAGAGATCGAACGTAAGTAAGGCCAATGACCATTAGTCCAAGATTCCTTACTATAATTCAGAATTTCCTTTATATACATACAAATCTGAGTGTAACTTCGTTTGAAATATGAATGTGACTTGAAGAAAATGTTTATAAAATCAAGTAGTTAGTCAGGTAGTTAGACATAGAGACTTTTTACCTGAAAAGATTCTCATTGAACAGAAGTGGACTAAAGGGAAACGAAAAAAACAAACAAAATAACTCGGGATTCATTAAATAAAAAACTTCCAACATTCCATAAAACTACAAACAATCAAAAGCGAAATTCAACAAAACAAGAAATGATAATTACCTGTTTTCTTTGTGCAATCTGATTTAGTGTTTTTGGAGTTTCAACTAGTGGAGCTAAGTCGATTTCAGGCATTTGACACAATTCGATCACTGATAAACCAAGCTTTTTAGCTGTTGCCTAAAGAAGGAAAGTGTTTGAAAATTAATTCACAAGGACATGCAAATCTGAAGTGAATTCTCAGTATGACCGATAGTCAATTACAGGTCTGGCTCACCAATACATAAGGTTACTAAGCTGGTGTTCGTTGACTAACCAAGAATCTGGTCATTGTATTTAATTGCGGCGTTGTTGTGAAGATTGTTAAGTTTTATTTGTAACCATGAATCGATCAATGTTACACCACCATTAGAAACCTGGAAGCACTGAAAGACGGCTGTTTTGTGGTCCTGGTATGGGACTCATCAGCAGTGTGCATCCACGACTCCTGCACCCCACACGATTCGAACCCAGGACCTTCGGTATTGTGCGCGAACGCGCTAACCGTTAGTCCACTGAGCCGGTATCTAACGGTGTTAATGTCTAACTTGATCGAATTCACGGAGTTGCGCAACCCCATACACTGTATATATCGGAACAGATTTGAACTTCACAGGTCACGACTTCCCAATAGAACTCGGAGGAGATTCCTCACCAAGCTAGTCACTAGTGGACACATGTAATTGCATTGCGGGGTTGTTGTGAAGATGATGAGTCCTATACCAGGACGAAACGGCCGTCTTTCAATGCTTCCAGGTTTCTAGTGGTGGTCTAACATTGATCGATTCATGGTTACAAATATTGTATTTAAGCTATAAATTACGTCATTGAGCTATTCGGTCTATCAGTAATTTCCGCTTAGACAAAGAGATTTATATTCATCAAGTGATAATTATTATCACATCATTTCAACAATTCAGCAGAACATTTCTGAAGAGAGATCGGGTTGGTTAACTTTTAGCTAATCACTTTTTGCTACTTAATACTTTTTGTAAGTAGTACACAAAAACAATATCAAAAAAAATTGCGCAGCTGTCTAGGATCGGATTCTATTCGTCATTACATGAACATCTGAAGATGATATAATCAAACGAAACCATGAACAATTTAAATAAAAAGCTAACTTACATTTAAAAATTCATTAAACAAAGAATAAAGATTGTTTAAATGATAATCACGGAGACCTTTTAAAGTAGCAGTTGTTGGACGATCTTTTTCTTGATCTAATCGTTTAATGAATTTTGCTGGTAATTCTATTGGCTGTTCACATGATATACGTAGATAATTACTAGTAAATATAACAAGAAAATGATTGATTTTCTTATCAGTCAGGAGTTTTTTTAGAATAAAAAAAGATTAATTTAATGTAAGGCTTGTGTTTTGAGATTTTGGCGGGTTACATACACTAAGTGCTACTTATAAGACTCAGAATTTATCAACGTTATTAGTTTTTCGTTAAGAATGCCAACAACGTTCGTATAACAAATCGTTCAGTTCATTGTCGACCAATGAATTTTGTAACGAATGCTAGTTGAGTGGAGATAGAATTTCTTCAGAGTTCAAAAAGAATCAAAAATATTAGAAGCTTTGATTTTCCACGAATTAACTTGGTTACTAGTTGATAGATCGGATGCAGCTGGACGGTTTAGACTTTGCAGATCTTTGGGCTCTTCTATCATACACATGAAACAAAAAATGCAAGTGAGAACGACCAGTGTAACAGCAGCCTTTTTAAGCAGTAGGTTTCACTATACATCAAGGGAAAAGCAAGATCCTACGACACAACACAACATGCACTAATAAAATCACACTTGCGAGAGAAGCATTGAAATCTGTGTAAACCTTTACATATTTGTACAGTATCATCGATCAACAAGGTGGATCTGACGCAGACGTGAAGATTAGGGAAAAATTTCTATAACTGAATCAAATCTCGAACTCTCAACAATCGTCAACCAACACCAAAGTCAGAATGTCAAGACATTCCTACTGTATGGAGAGGAAACTTGGAGAATCACGAAGGCCATCAACCGAAAGATAAAAACATCTGTTAACTGTTGTCTACACGAAATACTTGGAGTCCGTTGGCCAGAAACCATCATCAGAAACAACCTATTGTGGGAAGGAACAAACCAGATTCCTAAAGCAGAGGAAGCAACCAGGATGAAGCTCTAGAAGTGGATAAGAGACATAAAGAGGAAAGCAACGAACTGCGTCACACCGAACTGCCCTCATCTGGAATTCTCAAGAGCAGAGGAAAATAGGTACACTGAACAAAACAATGTGTTGGTAACTTGAAAATGATGAAAACTTTGATTATTTTCGGATAAATCAAATGCACAGAAAGGTTTCTCAATATGAAGGATTCTTTCAAATGAAATGGTATGATTTTGTAACGAGTTGACATTAACAATTTCTTATTGGGTTGATAAAATTCTTTTGAAAACATCCACATATTTAAATACGGCTTAATATGAGTGAAATATGTGAGTAAGAAAGCTGTGAAGAAAATCAAATTCCACCAAGATCATGAGCTAACCTGAGGTAGACAACCATTAAAAAATCGAGAAGTACTAGAAAGTGGTTTCGTTCCAGTATGGGACTAGTCAGTTGTGTACATCTAAGATGTTACTAGCGAGGTTTGGACCTGAGAGTAATTAATCTTAGACTTGTATACCACTGGTTTTCAGAGTATATATATAGTAGACTGAATGTGTATCTGCGTTTGATTCTAAGTAAAGCTCACTACTTTGTTGGCCTGCGATTGGGCTGCATTATTTATAAACATTTAAATTAAAATTGATCAAGTTAGACATTAACACCGTCAGATACCGGCTCAGTGGTCCGATGGTTAGGCGTTCGCCTACAGTACCGAAGGTCCTGGGTTCGAATCCTGCGGAGTAGTGAATGCACGCTGCTGAGGAGTCCCATGTCAGGACGAATCGGCTGTCCAGTGCTTCCAGGTTTCTAATGGTGGTCTAACATTGATCGATTAGTGGTTTCAAATAGAATTTAAATATGCTATGAAATAGCTCTTCCCTTCAATTTCCTTATATCATACTTAGCGAACCTCGTGTTTGTGCAACGGCGGTAATAAAAAGCCAAATCCCTCCTATTCAGTTAGATGAGTTTATTTCACGAATTCATTTGTGAAGACAGCAGATGAGAGAGAATAAAAGGTGTACAAGCAAAGTGGAGCGAAATGGAGAAGGCGGATGAGTCAATTCCATGCGATGAAGCGTCAAATAACATAAACTAGAGACATTTAGTAGTACACAAAGCAGGCGGTGTACACACCTAAATCGAATAGAAAACCTGACAAAGATGACAGACAAGGTCAAAAGACGCGGGAATAAAGAGTCGGGAAGAATGGATTAATTGATTTGTCCAAAGACTGAGACACAAACCTTGTGAGCTCGACATCAAAGTTAACAACACACTATATATAGGTTGAAGAGTATGTACGTGCTGCTGACAAGTCTCACACTAGGATGGAACGGCCGTCTACTGCTTCTAGATATCTAATAATGGTCTGACATAGGTCGTTTCATAGTTGTTTTAATGACACTCAATAGTAGTCTCCACAACCTTATATTGATAATGTGTATACAATTTCTCTTGGACTATGTTATAGTATGGTGTGAGCTACTTATAAGCATCATATGACGTGAGTGTCAACGTAATGTCTGGCAGCAGCAGAAGATGGGGGGAGATCAAGAAAGGAAGAGTTAGAACACAATGGAATGTGTATGAAACGCATGAATAGTGACAATGGATTGATGTTTTGCAACAGCAACAGTCCAGTTCGATAATATGATGAACTGATATTTTGCAAATTAACGATTTACGATATGGTTTTCCTATTTTACTGAGTAACTCTGTAATTTTCGTTAAATACAATTCGGTTGCCCTCACCTGTGTTCTCCTTCACTACAATAGTACAATAGTCATTATTGACTTCATAATTTATGACATAAGTTAGTACAAACTTTAGGATAACTTACTCATAAATATAATTTGCTTTATCAATTCTATGTTTCAGTTTTTCCATATTCATCTGATTTGTAGTAGTAGACATGGTTAAATATTGATTGACTTCTAAAATAAATGCTAAATGATTTGTTGGATTATAATTCAGTTGTGCTTTGTCCAATGTTTGAAGCAACCATTCTTGAAACATCGACATCAATCTTTGGTTGGCATGGTAATATGTAAATTAAATGAAAATTATTATAAGTGGAATTAAAACAACGACCAAAAATGAGTGTTCAACATAGAAAGACAAGTCAGTCAGTCAAATGCAACGTAGAACTTCGTACGTAAGTACATCACTTCATGTCGCCATTCCACATCATCACAGAGATGTAATTGTCAATTCAAATCCAATAGTAGAAGAGGTAGTAAAGGTATTAGAAGTAATCGGAGAGGTTAAGATTAGAAGATATTATTATTCAAGAAGTATGATTCAGTGAGAAAAGTTTAGAAGGACAAAACTAGAGGTGTTGAGGAATCCAGAAGATTAGGATTTGAGAGAACACAAAGAATAAATGTACAGGCGCCATTGAAAACGATTTTGAGCCATGTCATTCAAGGTCTCTAACCATCGATTATTATCATCTCGCGGACCCCAACCAGGTAGTCGGCAACTACCGACATGGCTCAGTCCACTCGTCAATGACTTCATGGATTTCTGCCATGTTTTGGTTTGGCCGCCACTAACTTTCTTCCAACCTATTCCTACATCACAAAACAAAGCTCGTTGAGGCAGTCGGTGGTTGGGCATACGCAACACATGTCCCAACCACCTCAACTGATGAAGTTTCAATGCTTCATCGATTGATCTGCCATTCTTACTTAGCACCCGATTCCTAATAACAGCGTTGCTCACTCGGGTGTCCAACGATGTACGAGCAATGCTTCAAAGACACCTATGATCGAAAACCAATAACCTGCGAATATCTTATACTCTTACCGGTCATGTTTCGCAGTCATAAAGTAGGACAGAGCGAACTTCTGCGCAGTGCACTCGTCCTTTAGTCAGCAAACGGATATCTCGTCTTCGCCATAAGTGACGCAGGTTGGCAAAAGCCGACCGAGCCTTCTGTATCCGAGCTGTGTCTAATAATATGTTGAACTCTGCCTGTAATTGCTCTAGGGTTACCGCCGGTCTCTAGCCCGGATTGATGTTTATCAAGGTGTACAATGGCATTTGTGTGCATCTTGTGACGATCGCCTCAATATGGTCATTAATTTATAGGTATAATTGGGAGAGATGGATGGTGGATAGCAGTGCAAATTCAGGATGCATGTTTCGTTCTATTTAGAACTCGTTTGTAATTGAATGTACTTGCATTTCGACGTTGATATTTTTTATTCCGGGGGGCTCAAACTCAGAATGTGCAAAACATATGCTAAGGATACTTACTACTGATCAGTTGCACATGGATAGATCCAAATAACGAATATAGATAAATTGAACTTCACCTCAACTTTTTCCCCTTAATTTCATGAAATCGTCATCATCGAAAAATCACTAAGTGTTGTTTGTTAACCAATTATGTAATCACAACATTGGGGATTGTTACTATAACGCTCCAGCAGTATAGCTTAGTGAAGCCAATTGGCTTATCTAAGGGAAAAACTCAAAGTTTGGGCAGTACAACTCTCGGGGCTCAATAGGTGTTTCTATCTTGTAATTTCATTTCCTTGTTACGTCTTTGGTTATTGCAGACCAATTATGTTCCAAATAACAATATTCCTTTTCATGTTGGAAGTTGTTTTGCATAGTTTGGATAGGGATCCATATTTGTAGTTTGTTGGAGGTTTTTCGTTTTCCATTATGATATCGCGGTTTTATTTTTGATTCAAATTTATTGCTTCTGACACATTTCAAGCTTCGTAATTAATGTCTTACAAGCTATCTTCTATCTATCTTTCTATCTATCTATCTATCTATCCGCCAGTAGAACCTTTGGGGCTACTGTCGGTCCCAAGCCCGGATAAAGGAGGAGGGTTGTACATCGGGTTGGTGCCCCCATCACACAAAAAAACTAACTTGCCAAAAAAGCGCTAACCAGAAAAAATGAATCAAACCATTTTAACTCTGCCCTCACAGTTGGAAGAAGAATTATGACGTCGCGTGATGAAAGCCGAGTTCCCTCGGAAGTCACGGGGCTGATGCCTCTTCTGACAACCAGAGCAACCATTCTTTTAAATACATGGAACATTCGAATATTGTGGGAGACTGGAAGACTATTTCAAGTTGCTGCAGAAATGAAACGGTACAACCTCGAGGTGCTTGGAATCAGTGAAACGCATTGGACACACGTAGGACAACTGAAACTAGCTTCAGGGGAACTGCTGTTATACTCTGGTCATGAAGAGGAAAACGCTTCACATACACAAGGAGTTGCATTGATGCTGTCCAAACATGCACAAAAGGCACTGATAGGATGGGAATCTCATGGGCCGAGGATCATCAAAGCATCCTTCAAAACAAAGAAACAGGACATTACAATGAACGTCATCCAATGCTATGCACCTACCAATGACTACAATGACGACGTTAAAGATCAATTCTACGAAAGGCTGCAGTCAATAGTTGACAGATGCTCGTCAAAGGACTTGACGATTTTAATGGGAGACCTAAATGCCAAGGGTGGTATGGAAAACACTGGATATGAAGACATCATGGGATGACATGGACTGGGAGAAAGGAACGAAAACGGTGAGAGATTTGCAAACCTATGTGCCTTCAACAAACTGGTCATCGGTGACACAATATTCTCGCATAAACGCATACACAAAGCCACATGGATTTCACCAGATCAGACTATTCAGAACCGAATTGACCATATCTGTATCAACAAAACGTTCAGAAGGACCATGGAATACGTGAGAACCAAGAGAGCATCTGACATAGCCTCAGATCACCACTTGCTGATCGCCAAAATGAAACTGAAACTAAAGAAGCACTGGACAACGGGGCAGACAACATCACAGAAGTTTAATACGGCCTTTCTTCGGGATACTGTAAAGCTCGACGAATTCAGGATAGCCCTCACCAATAGATTCCAGGCCTTTCAGGATCTACTCAATGGAGAGGACGCAACATTGGAGAACAATTGGAAAGGGATTAAGGAGGCAATCACTTCAACATGTCAGGAGGTCCTTGGTCGCAAGAAGTACCATCACAAGCAATTGATCTCTGTTGATACTCTTGGCGCACCTATAATTGAGGAGATCAGTATGGCCATCAGACAAATCAAGAACGGCAAAGCAGCACACCAGACAACATTCCAGCAGAGGCAATGAAAGAAGATGTAGAAGCAACTGCGAAAATATTTGACAACCTCTTCAACAAGATTTGGGATGAGGAACAAGTACCATCAGATTGGAAAGAAGGATAACTCATCAAAATACCAAAGAAAGGCGATCTCAGCAAGTGTGAGAACTACAGAGGCATCACTCTTCTCTCAATACCAGGCAAAGTCTTCAACAGGGTATTGTCAAACAGAATGAAGGACTTCGTAGACGCCCAACTTCGAGATCAACAGGCTTGATTTCGTAAGGATCGATCGTGCACTGACCAAAATGCTACATTACGGATCATTGTGGAACAATCAATTGAATGGAATTCACCACTCTACATCAACTTCATCGACTACGAGAAAGCATTCGATAGCGTGGATAGGAAAACACTGTGGAGGCTTCTTCTACACTACGGTATGCCTGAGAAAATAGTTAACATCATACGGAATTCTTATGATGGATTCAACTGCAAAATCGTACACGAAGGACAGCTAACAGACTCTTTCGAGGTGAAGACCGGTGTCAGGCAAGGTTGTTTACTTTCACCCTTTCTCTCTCTCCTTGTGATCAACTAGATAACGACGACGTCAGCATCTGGAGGGAAGCACCGAATCCGATGGACAGCGAAGATGAACCTGGACTTCGCAGATGATCTGGCTCTTCTATCTCACAGGCAACAACAAACGCAAGAGAAGACGATCAGTGTAGCAGCAGCCTCTGCAGCAGTAGGTCTCAACAAACATAAAGGAAAAAGCAAAATTCTCCGATGCAACACAACATGTACCAACCAAATCACTCTTGATAGAGATGTCTTGGAGGACGTTGACACCTTTACATATCTTGGCAGCATCATCGACGAGAAAGGTGGATTCGATGCAGATGTGAGGGCGCGGATCGGCAAAGCGAGGGCTGCATTTCTATAGTTGAAAAATATCTGGAACTCCAAACAACTTTCAACCAAAACCAAAATCAGGATTTTCAATACAAATGTGAAGACTGTATGGAGCGGAAACTTGGAGAACTACGAAAGCCATCATCCAGAAGATACAAGTGTTTATTAACAGTTGTCTACGCAAATTATTTCGGATACGTTGGCTAGACACCATCAACAACAACGTACTGTTGGCCAGACACTGTGGGAGAGAACAAACCAGATTCCAGTGAGGAAGAGATTTTACTAAAGTGGATAGGACAAACATTGAGGAAAGCACCCAACCGCGTCACAAGACAATCCCTCGCTTAGAATTCTCAAGGACTAAGGAAAAGAGATAGGCCAAGGAAACCATATATATATATATATATATATATATATATATATATATATATATATATATATCATACTTACAATTTATTCTCAAGCATTGATTTCAAATTGAACGCCTGATTTGATAATCTTTTTGGTTGTGATTCAATTTGATTTTCTTCTTGTTTTGTTGTTTTAATTTCTTCATCCGACTTTACAGTAATTTTAAACAGTGAAAATAAGGTACATTAAAAACAAATCAGATTTTTACATATGAATGATTTTGTCAACAAGAATATGAGTAGTAAATCATTGCATACAAGACTAGAATGGAAGTCTATTTTGCTACCGAATAATATGTAAATATTCTATTTCCTTAGAAAAAGAAGCTATTTCTTGACCGATGATATTCGTCATCAAATGACCTTATCATTAAGCTACTTCGGAAAGTCTGATTATATCACCACTTTTCCCTCGTGAAAAATGAGTCCGGCTTCGAGAGTTTATCTGGAGACGCTTCTTGATGATTTCTTGGTCACTCGCTGTTACTCCTTCTGTACTGAATTCTATGCTCCTGACTAACTGTATCAATCAGGCATTTCGATTGTAAGTTCACTCGAATTCGG